GAAAGATGATATATTACACACTCTCAAATTATGTTTCTTTTATTTTATTTTTGCTTTTATATGTTGATGAAAGATTTGCTTTGTGTTTCTTTGTCAATAAAACCTTTATGTACATCTATCCTTTCTTTTTTTCAAATATTGCATGTATTTTCTTACATGGCCCCATATATAAAATATTTAAATTAAAGGCCTCTCCAACTCTGATTCCGTCGGAATGTCTATCACAACCACCGTAACATCTCGTAGTAATTCATATGCCTCGCCGGAACTAACATCGGTACTCGTAGGACTTTGGACTTGTTCAACTTTGTTTCTACAAATAGGACAAGTAGAGTCCGATTGAAGAAGCCATGTGTCGATGCAATCAGCGTGAAACCAATGATTACATATTGGCAAGACCTTATCTTTGTCCATCTTCAAAAACAAAGCGAAACAAAACCTTGGTAAGATTTTTGGGGTCAAGAATCAAATGTCATTAACTAGGAACCAGAAAGAGTTCAAGAATCATAAGCCTTTGTAAGATGAATCTATCAAAAAGTTGTTTTATATAGAAGATCATAATGTACCAAAACTCAATTCGAATTTACTTAAGAATCCTAAAATCGATGGTTTGGAGTATTTGGACAGAGTTGGGCCTGAAAGAAGATACACAACAAAGCCCAAAACCCAAACAAAGAGGCCCAGCTACGTTCCCATCACCACATGAAATGAAAAATGTGACACACTAGTTGTGTTGTATTGAGCTCAAGGTAAAATGTTTTCTTGCAATCATTGAGTAACAATAAGCATTGATGACAGTCTAAAGTGTTTATTTATTTTTCATCTATGATTTCTCTTCCATCATTGATGACCAATCGATTAGAAACTAATTAAAAAAAGGGTATACGTTCTATGCTATTTAATTAAATGTTTCTTGAAACTGAATGGTGGTTATATCCTTCTGTTGTGCTAATTAAAGGCGATTGTCGATAGACGACTATCAAGAATGGTTGTTCTATTTTCTTATAACAAAAGATACCCATGTTTATAAAAATGTTGAACAAACGGAGATCTATTTTCACAATCGCAAGACTCGTTCCTCGTTTTACCCATAAATCTTTACGTTGCACTACACTAATATATGTATAGTTAAGTTTGTGTTTTGACTTTTGAGTAAATGCTACATATGCAAATTTTATCTACAAAACTGTACACGTATGTATTTAATTAGCTATGGCTCCACACATGTTTAATGTTTATCAGTAAGTATACACGTGTGGTAGTATTTCACTAGTTTATTTGAGAAAAATCAGAAAATGGCAAGTATGTGATGATCATCTTTGTAGACACGTGGACGTAGAAAAGGGCAGTTGCATTTGCATGATCACACTTTTGTAAATGCAGCCTTGACGTCTATTCTCCCACGATTTGTTTACTTTTAAAGATTCGTTTTTTAAACCCCTTGATCTCTATATTTTTTCCTCTCTCTCTATTATTGATTTGTTTCTCTTCGAAGTTGGAACTCGAGCTTGTAAATCATAATTAATTAAATTAAAATAAATGTTGGACAAAGGCACGTGCAGCCACGCGCCATTGTCTGCTCAGTAACTGAAACTGCAAGAAATGGTAGAAAAGCGGAATCATACAATGATGAGATTTGCTTTACTTTTTATTTTGTGGGAGTATATTTCGTTTTCTTATTTACAGCCACAAAACGTTAATATTTCGTACGCAATAAATCATATCTATAATTATTTGAATAAATTACTCATTGATGATCATTAGGGTAAAACTTCATTTAGAAAAAAATTATTATATACTCCACTTTGGCCGTTTTTTGTTCTTATCTAATGAAAGCTAAATGGCTTAGTGATGGACCCACAGTTTAAGAGCGAGAGGAACAACGGATCCAAATTATCAAAAACAGAGGAATATTCCGAAATT